GGGTTCGGGTTTTTTTCCATGAAATTTTGTTTGTTGACACACACACAACAGCCGACTTTCAGTCAAGAACAATACATTTTAATGTACGGTACTTTAATGTTCTGGAGTGGATGCAACCAAACTGCCTACGTTTCCACAATCAGTTATACGGTTCGACTTGTCTCACCTACTTAGGATAAAAATAATATGCATAAACAAATTGGGGGAGGGGACGTGTGATTAACTGTCGTTTTTTATCTTCATGAAACGTCCTACCCAGACTGATGTAGCTGTAGTATTGAGGAGACCGTTGTGAGTTATAGTTTTCGACCTGTAAAGTGCGTGCGTGCTTTTACAACAGCGCGCTCTGTTCAACATATAATAATTAATTAATGGTGATGCAACCTTAACTAGCTTTCTATTTCCCCTTGCTTCATTTATTTTATTGGCTTTCTAAAACACATATTTATCTCCCTTTTCACCACAAAGCCTCTGCTACTTAAAGTTTGCTTTATTCTCGTGATTCTCTTTATTCAGAATCAACCGTAAACAATGAACTGGTGTCTGTGGTGTAACGGTTAAGCGATTTGATGTCGCACGCAGAAGACCCAAGTTCGATTCGTGACGTTTGTACAGACTTCTACTGGCACGCTGTATCCTTCTCAGCCCGGTGGGCCTTAATAAGCAGGAGAGAAGCCCGCTTTCTAAATGACCTAAACGGTGTCGAAAGGAGCGCAAAAAACAAACACAATGGCTAACTGAAGTGCACCCTGGTCTGATTTGGTGATATTGAGTGAGGACTGAACAACGTGTCAGCCGATGTTAAGGTGTTTTCAATGCAAGCAATCTTGCTTTATCATTTCCAGAAATTTCTTTAAATAAGGTCGATATAGTCTCGATAACATGTGATTTTTTTCCTCGTTTTTTTCCCAGCAGCAGCCAACTGAGAGATATCCCAGATAGGACCAAGGTCCAGAGAAGAATACGGTAACGTATCTCGGGAATCGTCACCTTGTGACATCGAGTGCGAAACATGGTTCGTGTTCGCCAGGCTTTGAGAAAGCGTGTTAGAAGACTCTACGTTTGTCTCCTTTTTCGACGTAGAATAATTCCTGACACGTGTGTGTCTGGGTACAAAGTATTCAATCTCCGTCACGCGAAATCCGCCGACACTGTCTGGAGGGTCAGCTTGTAATGAAGACAGTGGCTCTGTCTCCAGTGACTGCGCGTCATCGATGATTGAAGAGCTACTTACTCGTTGTTGGTGGTGGTGAGTGCTTGCAGATGTCTGTGCCTGCTCACAGGAAGTATGGTCAACGCGAGGCACATGGTAGATTGTTCCTGAAACACAAAATCCTCCAGATTCAACAGGTGAAGATTCATTACACACAGTGGAGGACAAGGCTTCGAGCCCTTCATTTTCTGAAGTCTCATCAGATTTGTCAGTCCATTTTATATTAAGTCTTCTACCAAATGCGGTGAGAGTACTATCTCCTTCACCAGACACATCCAGTCCGTTTCTAGTTTCCATATTTTCTTTTTCGTCAACACGTCTTTCCAACTCAATGCCATCTTGCAGTGTGGCGTGATGCTCTGGAAGATAACGTTGTTCACAGTCTGTCGTATCGGCGCTTGTACAGACGGGTTTGTTCACCACGACAAGACCCTTACCCCTTGTCCTGGTGGTTGTGGTTGTCCTACTACGGTCCACATGCTTGCCGTCAGCATGCCGTGACGTTGTGACGGTTGTCACAGTTTTGACGGACGTCTTGGACGTCTCTGTGACAATGTTGTCATGACAGGTGCTTGTGGAGCGCACGGGGGTGAGACGGAGTGGTTGAAGGTGGGCATATACTCCCAGCTGACGATCCATGAGCATCAACAATTCTGAAAAAAAAACCAGCTTTGGTTTAGAACAAGTACATTATAAGCAGGAAGTTAGCAGAAAGAGCTTCTTCACTCGTACTTGAGCTAATTCTCACAGAAGGATAACTCGATACTTCTAGCTCAGCAAAAAAAAAAAAGTAATAAGGAATAAACAAGCATTTTTTAAATACATATAGTACAACTGCAAAATAATTTAATGCTGTTTTCTGAGAAAAAAGATCAAGCAGAGATTAGTAATCTGATACATACAAGTACTAGTTGGGCAATCGAAGATATCAACTTACACACACATACATTTTTAAAACGTATTGTTTAATTTACTTTTTTAATGTTTAAGAAAAAACAGTTTTGTTTGTCTGCTCTGGGAAATTCGATTTGTCATCATAGCATTAACTATCTAAAAGAATAATAAATCAAACTAGGAACAAAATATTGGCCAAAAAATGCTAGGAAGGGAAATTTTGAAGTCTGCAAAGTACCTCACAAAGTACAGTATCCAAATCAGGAGTGAACACAACTGGCCGGATAGCCTTAACAAAGGTAATGCAATTCTCCTGGCCAGCTTCACTGTTTGTCGCCACTTGGATAACAAAAGGGTATAGGATAGAGCTGGTGTCAGAAATGTGTGTGTGTGTGTGTTATTTGTTTGCTTTTTTAATAAGCACACTGTAGATGAAAACAGGCTGTGTATAATTCAGTGTCCGAGGATATTGTTTGTTCAGGTTGATCATTCATCCTCTGCTGCTATAGCAACACTTGTTTATGCTAGCGTTTATTATTGAGCGATCGTTTTTAATCCAAAAACTTCCATTCTGGGGACATTGACAAACGCATACAGGGGAGGGGGATGGGGAAACCAGAGACCGTAAGAGAGAGAGAGAGAGAGAAAGAGAGAAAGAGAGAGAGAGAGAGAGAGAGAGAGAGAGAGAGAGAGAGAGAGAGAGAGAGAAAGAGAGGAGGGGAGTAGAGAGGGGGGGAGTAGAGAGGGATGGAGTATATTTTATGTAGTAGTTTCGCAATCGAAGATATCAACTTACACAAAGCTACAGTTGTTTGTTGGTTGTTGTTTTTTTTGGAAAATGTATTGCTTGATTTACTCTGTTGTCTTAGGAAAACAGCTTTGTTAATTTGCTCAGGGAAATTCGATGTGTCAGAGAGAGAGAGAGAGAGAGAGAGAGAGAGAGAGAGAGAGAGAGAGAGAGAGAGAGAGAGAGAGAGAGGGGGGGGGGAGAAAGAGAGAAAGGAAGAGTGAAAGAGAAAGGAAAAGGGAAGAAAGAAGCAAAGAGAGAGACACGGAGAGAGAAAGAGAGAGGGAAAGGGAAGGAGAGGGAGAAAGAGAAAGAGAGAGGGAGAAAGAGAGATAGAGAGAGAGAGAGAGAGAGAGAGAGAGAGAGAGAGAGAGAGAGAGAGAGAGTGAGTGAATGCGTGAGTTAGTGAGAGATAGATAGATAGAGAGAGAGCGAGAGAGAGAGAGAGAGAGAGAGAGAGAGAGAGAGAGAGAGAGAGAGAGAGAGAGAGAGAGAGAGAGAGAGTTTACACGTCAGTCCTTCTTTCAACCCCATCGTCTTCCGGTTCATGAATAGAGAAACCAAGTTGCTTTGGTGGTCGAAAGACAATCTAAACAAAAAGGGTGTAGGTTACAAAAAGTACAGTGTTTGCATGTCAAGGCTACGTTATCATGCTGGTTTGGGTCTATTGCCAATGGGTCTCAACGTTGCGACAAAACTGTTGGCCAATGGTTTTGTATGTGAGATGACGACAATGATAACAAGAGAAGCGCGGCTAATTTAATCATTGTGTTGTTCAGGTGTGCTTGGCTTCTCTTTTTTTCATTATACACAACTCACGGACAACACCGTTGTTGTAGTTTGGTATAAGGTTAAAACAATATTTACTTCTATTGACTGACTGACTTTGTAACTACCCTTTTTTTTGTAATGACTACAACCTGACAAGTATTCTTACATTCTATATGCATTTTTTTTTCTAGAGATCTAAATCGTTGGCCAGCTGTTTAGATGCATTATGCCTAAATTTTGGAGTTAGAAGAAAAAAAAAGTTGTTTCTAAACCCATGATATCGGTTACACATACTCGTGAACTATTTCTTCGGAATTCAAATTCAAAATGTTGAAAACAGCAAGAAAGAAACAATATTGTAAAAGAACAGAAACCGTTTCTTTCTCACTCCTAAAAGATTTTTGCTTTCTTGGCTGAGAGCAATTGAACAGCTTGCCGTCGAAATCCCCACTAATCGACCAAAAATGGTGTTGTAAGGAACTGCTAACACTTTAAACTAAAACCAATTATAAACTACGGACAATAATATTGTCTAATTGTCTAAAAAGGTAGCTTCTAGTGCACGGGTCGCCAACACATAGCCCTACACCAATGTAACTGTTTTTCGTGCACATGTACTTACTTGAACAATGTTGGCTCTGTCCAGTAGAAAAGACGTAATAGCAATTTTGCTCCTTGACAGACGTAGGAAACGTTAACAGCTCTACGGACTACAGAACCATACCTTTATTTTACTTTTACAAACAGAAGTACTAACTAACAGAGTGCTGACAATTCTTGTAGATATTTTCCAACCGAATAACACACACGACAGGAAATATTCCAGGAGTCTGTTCACAACACCCTCCTTGTCTGACTACCTGTCCGACCCTATAGTGTGACCTCACAGTCAGGGTTACCTTTGCTACGCCCCCAAGTATGTCTCTGGACACTCACCGCATTCCAAGGCTTGATTAATGGCGGGGTCGGATTATGAGAAAGAAGAAGACGCAGTGAAGGATTCAGAGGGCTGAAATCCGAACGGGGTAAATGAGAGTCAGGGGACCACTAAATCTTGCCTTGACATTTTCCCAAAATAAGCTATGCTTACATAGATTTTGGCATGACATTTTAATCAAATTTCTGATTTCTCTATTGTAAATACACACCTACTTTTAACAAAATTGTGTCGCTTTTCAAACTCAGTTCTATTACTATTGGAATCGTGAAAAGAAAACACACTTGTAAACTATAAATATTGACATGATAGTTCAACTACTTCAGGCCAACACATCTCCCAACAATTCTATCTCACAGCGGAAGTGGTTTCTTCAAGGAGTGCATTAATCTCTATATATTTATTATTCATAGACTGCAGCTTTTGTAACGTAGACCTTTAACTTCCAGAGGTAAGAACAATAACATTGACAGACAATTACATAAAGTAAGACATGGAAGTGGTGTTGTTGATCTCAAGGCATAATTACTTTTCATAAACAATTTTATGACAGTAGAAGGAGCCGCTTTCTCCTTTAAAAAGTCCATCTTTACACTGAAACGAAATACACACAAAGGAAAACGCTCAGACGGCGGGACAGAAGACACAAAATATCATTCTCCAGAGTAAAACTAACATTGCAGATATAATAACTTTACTCTTCTTTAAAGCAGAAGAAACAGAAATATAGGTACCTGACACGAGACAAAAATTATCAAAGTAACATATTATAGTGTATTTCTCTTATTTTGATAATTCACTAATAAGTGATGCTTTTGCATTCAACATCTCTTTCTCTGAGCTCAGAACAAACTAATCATTTCTGTTACTGTAGTTTCGGGTTATGCTGTGAATATGATGAGTCCCTGCAGACGTCTCAGACTTTTGAAAACCTTTACGTTTTTTTTAAACCGCTAGCATTGCATAACACCCAGCAATAATTATTTCGTAACATGTTTGTTCTGGTCGGCAATAAGCAGTGTTACATTTCCAGCGCAGACAGTGATGACGTCAATGTGACGTCAGTTACAGATGTGAGCTGCCATCCATGCTGTTTATTGCATCGGGACGGCCACAACCCCCCCCCCCCCAGGTGATTCTCTGAGCATAAACTTGCCACCCGGTATTGGAGATTTAGATGGCTAATTCCACCACCTCCCCCGGGGCTGTTATGGCCGTAACTCGCTCGGTTACATCATGCCGTTTCACCTTGGCGCAGGGACCACCATTCATTGCTTTAATGGTCAGCCCAACTCAGATAACATAAAACAAGAGATGAGCGGCTCAGTGTAACCAAGTATACTAATTCAAATTTACTTCTTTCGAACCATTTCACTCCAAAACCCACACAAATTATTTCAAACATTGGGAAACTTGTTTGTGTTTAAATAATGAGGAAACGTGGTGCAAAATAGTTTTGCAATACTGTAAAGCTGTTCAAGAAGTAGAATTTCCAAATTTAACATCCATTTCTTGTAGAACCAAGCCAGAAGAGGATACTCGTGTAAAATGCCTTTCCCAAGGACACAACGTGTGGCTGAGCTGAGCCTTGAATCTCCGAATCCACAACATCACCATATCGGGTCTGGAAGCCTACAATACACAAACTGATAAACTAAAGATATTTATTAATTTTTGACAGGGAATACACTTCAAAATATGTGAGACACAGACCTAAATAACATGTTGAGGATATAGGGTACATTATATTGTCTATTTGTTTGAGTTAATTTTCCAGTTTCAACTAAAACAGTGAAGACAAATGGTTCAAAGTAAAGGGTTTCGTGTTTGAAAGCGCACTTTTAGACCTTAAGAAAGAGTCCTCTTCGAAAGTGGCCAAGGACAACAGTTCTAGATACTCAAGTAACAGTTTAGGTCGTTAAAAACTGTTTTACGTTATATAAATGGTATAATATAATATCACGTTATCTCTATACAACCTCTTTTTAGTTGTGCGATCCCTGAAAACAGCAGCTTTTCTCTGAAATGGCAAGGCAAAGATAATTGATGGAATTCGTTTTCGTTTCCCCTCGGGTCCACCGTCACCAATCCAATAAGTGTCAATCGCATATCGATGAGTCTTCTTTTTTCTTCTCGTTATTGATTTATCGATCATTTCCAATCTGCAAAGTGGTACTTTGTAAGGATGAACAGGATAGAGAAGGCTATGAAGTTGATAGAAATTCTGAAAGCCTCGCTGAGAAACTTGGAAACGCCGGGACAGAAATGCGATTATGAGAGGGTGTCTCAGTACCGTAAATTGTTTGTCTTGCTGGAGCAGGGCCTAGGAACTTGATTTCGGGGAAAAGGTGTGTGTGAGTGTGTGTGTATGTGTGTGTGAGAGAGAAAAAGAGTATGTGTGTGTATGTGTGTGACTGTGTTTGTGTGTGGTGGTGTGTGTGTGTGTGTGTGTGTGTGTGTGTGTGTGTGTGTGTGTGTGCGTGGTGGGGGTGGGGGGAGGGGTGGAGAGATGGCCCAGTAGGATACAAGCTACACTCACAGACGGAAGCTGGAGGTTCGAAAACGCATGTGATTAGATTTATGCTTGTTTATCTAGAGGATTTCAAATTAAAAGCCTAACATTGTGTCCAGTACTGTTACCCAAAACATGCGTACTTTTCGGGAAGTTTATCGTGATGCCTCGCTCACTGGTTTGCGTGATAACAGCATAAATTGTTGAAAACTATACTTTAAAATTAGAAGCAACAAAAAGATGTCAAAAGTTTCCACATTCTTTAAATGTCCATACATCATTTGATTGTCGGAAGACTGTTAGAAATTAAAGGGCCTTGTCCAGTAGGCTGAAATCTGTTAGAGTAAAAAGAAAGAACGTTTAGAATGCAATCGTTTCAAGAAGTGCGGTTTTTACCAGCCTTATAGTATAGTACCAATTTATCAAGTAAATGACCAAAAGAAAATGTCTCTTTTGGGAACGAATCCATCCGAACATAGAAAAAAGTTGAAAAATTCTCCTTTACAAGCATCTTATAAAAGAAACGAATCTAGATACAATCACTAAATATAATTACTATAAACATACGATGTACTCTAAAGAAAAAGCAACTTAGGGGAAAATTGTGAAAGAAAAAGAAAGAGAAAATATTTCCAAAGACGTAAAAAGAAAAATCAAATGTATCAACGTATTCAGTTATCTTCTTTTCACTCTATACTCATTTTTTTATTAATCTGTTTCGTTATTATCGGTTTATAAAGACTAAATAGATGTCGTTTACCTTTTATCACTTTCTTCTTTACAAAGAAGAACAAGGGTTGGGATAATAGAATGCATATGTATTGGTTTTTCTTTTTGTGCCAGGTGAGGGATGGGGGGGGGTGGCCATATCATGTACAAAAATAGATGGAGTTCTAAAAAACGAACGAACGAACCAACAAAAACACAGAATAAAACCCAAATAAACCAAAAATTACAAAATAACACAAAAGTCCCACCCTTTTTATATGGCGTTCTGTTAGAATAAATAGATTGGTGAATGCATATTATTCTCATTAGTACGCTTGCAAGCTTATGGAAATTGAACAGACTTCTAAATTGACCACATTTTCAATCCAGACTTACCAAATGCTTTGCCAAACATGAGTTCTGTTTTAGTCTACTTCCTGATTTAATTATATTTGCTCCCTTGCAATGCCCATCAAATCTCTTTTGTATCACTTACACACACACACACGCACACACACATACACACACATACACACACACACACACACACAACTCTCTCTCTCTCTTTCTCTCTCTCTTTCTCTCTCTCTC